TCAACATTAAGTGTCTTTTTGGTAGGAATTCTTAAGGAGTGATCTACCTTTGACTGTAATATTTTTAAAGTCGTTCGCACGTTGATGTTTACTTAATAGGTAGTGAATATAATTCACTTTGGATAAGCAAGGTTTGTGATTCGATGTCCACAGAGTTGGTTGAGTTTAAATTGCAAGTGAGTTGTACCTTTGCGCGGTAAAATCGTGATTTCGAGTGACGTGGAGTATGTTGGCAATTTCTCTGTGGGTGTTCGTCTCTGACCGCTTGTGTCAGTCGGCGTTTTCTTTTATAAGTTCTGAAAGTCCGAAATCGGCTCACTTAAGTTTTGGCGCAATTTCGTTTTGCACGTGAAACTTTCAGATTATTGTGTCGTTAACCAATGAGATTTGTTGATTCGCCTAGTACGGTCTTTATTGGTTGAAGTTTTCCGTACGTAGGCGTAAGATATAGACTGTTCTGTTACTAGGGGTGATAGGTAGGAAAAAGACGAGTCTACAATACCATCAAGTCCACGTGCATTTAAACTCAGACTGTTTTCGAAAGTTGCTTTCAGAAATTGAATTTGCTTTAAAACTTAAAAAAAACTAAAAAACTTAAAACTAAATTGTACTAAAAAAATACTTGTAACTATTATTCTGTTAACAAATTTGTAAAAAAAATACTGTTCAACTTTAATTCCTTAATTACTCTTAATAATATTCAGTCATCTGTATGCTTTATGTAGGTGAGCGGTCAGTTTTACAAGAATGCAGGTGAGCGCTCACTCACTTACAGTAAGCTTGTTCAGTGTCATCAGCAAACGTTTTGAGGCTATCACCAAGAAGGTTGTTAATCACCTAAACAGAAACAACCACCTGAGCAACAAACAGTATGGATTTTGATTCTCCATGCCCACTGCTAATGTCTTAACTGCAATTATGCATAGAATCAATGATGTGTATGTTAATAAATTCATCACAAGAGCGCTCAACTTAGATATCTCGAAGGCTTTTGACAAGATGTTGAATAGGGGACTGCCACACAAACTCTCCATCTATGGCATTTCTAGGAGACTTGTAGTGATTCATAAATAAGAAGTAGCAGTTACATTCCTTGCATTGTTAGGCGACAGTAAGGGAAGAGAAGTAGAATTCCCATAATTCACTAGAAAGACAGTTTTAGCGCGAAGATAAATTGTCTCTTTTTCTCTTTCTGACTGCCAACTGTTGGACCAGAAAGACATGTTTTCTTAAATGATCTCACAAGAAAGATATCTCTTCATACAGAAAAGCCTAAAACCATCTCTTTCTTTGCATTAATACATACAAATCAATATATATATATATATATATATATATATATATATATATATATATATATATATATGCATGTGTGAGTGTTCTGTGAATAATGTGAATCAATTATGTAAGAAATTGTATGCTTAATCAAAAATCAATCATTTAATAAATTTTATACTTGTTGCATGCACACTAAAAACTGTTTATATTTTATATCATGTTTTCATGTAATATTGATAAGAATAACAAAACCAAGAACAAGGCCTCATATCATTCGCACTCCCACAACAGAGTCTACTCGATTACCAAGTCTTTCTATGAAGGTCGTTGTTAATGGACAAGTCCTCTGATGCCTATGAGATCAATGCAGACGTCCGCCAAGACTCTCGCCTCAATCTTACCCTTTTTTGCTATATATTATCGATCTGCCCGAGAACATTCACAGATCATTAGTAAATATTAGCAAACGATTACACTGCTTACGGGTGCACCTCCCCAAATCTAGATGACTAGAGCCTCTGCTTTTACTTGTACATTTGAATGGGAAAAGAACTGGTCTGTAAGATTCAATACCTCCAAAACTAAGCTAGTAACCTTTCATCATCACAGAAAGAGTGAGTCATGATAAATGGTTGTATTCTCAATGTGGCTCATTGCCTGGAACGTCTATTGGAACTCATACTCACACCAGACCTCAAGTGGAACTTGCATATACGATCCATTGCTAATAATGCCATTGCTTTCAGTTACAAGAGAGTTCAAAAGCGTTTGTGCAGCCGTATGAGTGATAAAGTGTTCTCTATCATACAGCCCCTTTTCCCACAGACAAAACGTTTTTAGCCTCTCGCTACTCTATTGTTATTTTAATGGCAGATTCCTTAGTTCCACCAGCCCAGACCTTCATAGCTAAGTCCCGCTATGCCGCGTACACTGAGGTGACTCATTCTCATTCCCTCCGTATTCCATTGGTGAGGGGGAAATTTCATTCAGATATCTTCCCCAGAATTGCTGCATTGTGGAACGTACTCCCGAGAGGATGCTTCCTCGACCACTATAATCTTAACCTCTTCATGTCTAGGGTTAACCGTTATCTATCCTACATATCCTCATAATATACTTGTCTTGTACTGCCCTACTCTACGCCTTACATTACAAAAACCTCATTTAGTAACCCTCTTGGGCCTTGTATTGAATGAACAATAATAAAAAAATCATTACATTAGCATTTGAAGTCATTACTAATTTTGATTCTTGAACCTAATGTTTATAAAATATTTGATCGAAGTTCCAATTGTTTGTGATTTCTGTTAAATAATATTTTTGATGATGCGCTGAAAAATATTATTGTAAAAGATATTATGGTGTTTGCACACACGGGGAAAATGTCGCTGCTATTTTATTTAATTTTTCACAGATATCTCGTATCAAGAGTTATCATTATTTCACTTAACTTGGTAAATAATTCATAGAGACTGGTGAAATGAATTAGATAAGGAAGTTTTTATTTTTCATATTCTTAAATCATCTCAATTTGTTAACGAGAAAACTAAAAAAGTATCGGTCTAGTCTAAATTAATTCTATCAAAGATATTAGCAATGAATAAAAATGTAATTTTCAAAAGTCTAAGTACCTTTGTAGCGAACCGTGGCGGTGATGAGTATGTAAAACACACGTGGGTTAAAATTTCCTGCTAGCCGGTCCAACTACATGAGAAAGTTGGACTTTAATTAAGTCCAAAGAAGGCAAAGAAAAGAAACAAGACCGATAAATATATGCAAACAAATATATGTATTAACAACAAGTTAAAGGTTACAAGCACCTGGACAGTTACATGGACAGAGTGTGTGTTGTGGTGAGTGTTCGTACGTACGTATATTGTTCTTAGCGTGTTCCCAGAATTTGAGAAACGCTGTATCTGTGAGAGCTCACATCTGCGAGGTGGTATAAGGCTGAAATCCTGAGGAAAAAAGAGATCGAGGCGAAGGGTCAGCCAGTATTTATAGCCAGAGAGAGACCCCTGGTGAAGGGTTAAGGAGCTGAGGAGAAGCTTCACATTTATTCAAATAACGTGCCCAAAATATTTGGAAATTCTTGCAAAAATCAAATAATTGTCAGATTTTAATGAAATTTTCAAGGCTTTTTCACAAATGAGTGAAATTATTTTTTTAAATCTTTTGTTTTAGAAAATCTTGGTAAAAAATATTTTTTACATATATTCCTCCCCAGTCACTTACTTAATTTCATGAAATTTCGAAAAATTAAATTTCAGGGAGAAAAGTTGTTTTACTAGTTAAAAAAGCGGGACTCCTTCGAGAATTTTTAAATCATTAATTTTTATTTTCTTAAAACAAGACCCCAGTCACCGAAAATCTGCTCTGGATCGTAAAGTAAAAAATGAAACTGAATGAAAATGAAATGATCGTAAAGTAAAAAATAAAACTGACATTATTTAATAAAAGCTTTTAATTGCTTTTATAAATAAGATTCATTAAGGACATTATTGTCTTACTGCCTTTTCCGATGAATATTTAATTTTTACAAGAATTGTTTTCATTTTTAAAAAATTTTAATTAAATAATTTAAATCGTTTAAAATTCTGCATTGCTTCAAGACAGTTAGGTGATATTGTTATTAAGTGAAAAATACATTTATAAATCAAAAACTGAAAAGTTAATTAAAAGTTGTTAGCCCCAATATTTTTTTTAAAAATTTTAAATTTATTTTGTGTACGCAACGTGCACCTGTTTGAAAGGATGGTCGACCATAGTAAATTTAAATTCAGCGTTCTTAAAATTAGATTACGGAGAAGATTTTCCAACATTTTTAAGATTACTGGATACTTAAAAATTATATAAAAAAGGCACCTATTCGTCATTTTCTTAAATTGTTTTAACAGATAAAGTTGCCATACAACAACAATGAGCCTGTCAACACATTGTCAAATGATTTACGAGGTGTTGATAAGCACTTAATTGCGCTACTCAACTGTTTGTTTTAAAAATCCATTTGTCTGTTATTTTGAACTTAAAGTAATTTTTTAAATCGGCTCTATTAAACTTTAAATCAGCTAATATTTCTCAAATAAAGTTTCACAAATATGTATTTTATTTTTGAGATATTTTTAAAACTCATTTTAAATCTTCTAGCTATCGATATTTATATACCGAAATAGTGGAGGTACCTCTAAGTATCAAAAAATGGAAATTATTAAGATTCAAGAGTTCTATTTGTAGATTTTTATGAATAAACTTTTTATAAATTATATAAAAAAAGTAAAACTAAAAAGAATATGAGAAAACATTATTTGCAACTGAACATAAACTTCGTTGGTTTGCTATCTTTCATACAACTGTTAGTGTTAAACATAAAGAAAAGCGAAGACAAATTTCCTGAATAAATTTACTACAGCATAAAATAGAAAGTAACTAGGAAGAGTAAGAGCTCCACTTTTGACAATGTCTTTTTTAAAAGATCTTATAAAAAACTAAAAGCAGTTGATTTTTTTTCAAGGATTTGAGAGTGCGAATATTCAGATAATTACTTTTTGTTTGTTTCAGGGAAAATGGAAGTGTTGTCGTAAGCAGCACAAACATTAAGGATATCAAAATAGTAAACAAAAAAAACATCATGTAATTATCTCTAAAAATTAAATACTTCCTAAAGTTCTTTTAAACAGCATACACAGGATATAACAGAAAAAGAGTTATTGCCCTTGGAAGATATGGCGGCAGTAAGTACGGGCAGCAGGTCTACAAGAAAGCATGCCATGGCTAGGGAAGAAAAAGAACGCTTTCGTGCCATTAATGAACAACCGGTTGATGATATAACGTTAGAATTTTTCTATCAGCCTCATACCATCAGTCTTCTCTCTTTATGTATTTGCGGGTTGCTTTATGTTGCCTTCATGAGGTAAGCTAAACAATATTGACTAAAAAAAATGTAGTCTACTCAACTGTGTGATAATTAAAGAAAACTAAATATACTTTGTCTTTTACTGCATGTACGTAATTTACCGCATTCTGATAATTTGTGTGAAAATAAACAGTATGCACTTCGTTGTATTATTATTTGTCATCGCTATGTATTACGGTGATAAAAGTTTTATCATAAAACTAACAGGTGGAAAGGGTCTTCTTGTTTTAGCAGTTGCAAGACTAAGTGTGGAAAAAAAGAAGTAATAATTTATGTTATTCAGTACTCTTTTAGACACGAGGTTTACATATCAAACCAATTATAGCATTCACTCACTCTGTTCTAGACTGATATTCGCATGTAATAATGACCCATGGAAATATAACATTTCCTTTTTAACCCCATTTTTTAAGTAGATGTTCTTTTACTGAGGTCTTTACTTTCTATTTGTTCAAAAAGAATGTCTCTTCCTTCAGTCTTCCAGTTGATGTTTACAGTTCTTATGGGATGTAATGACGACAGAAATTAAATTTGCTTTTTTTTTTTTTATTTAATATTGAATGAGTCTTGAACCCTAAAAAAAGTGACATGGGATGTATAGCAGAAGTCAGTAGTAGTGATATCCAATAATGTCCGGCAGGTGAAAGATTTGTATTGGATCCTTATTTATAACTTCAACAGAAATGAATCTTTAGTTTCATATTTCATGCCTGTATTTAAGGCGAAAAAGTGTCGTACGACTTGAAAAAACAATCTCGATAAATCTTTTGTTCTCACTCGTTGATAATTTTCTTTTCGTATTAAGAATTTTTACAGTGAATTCTTGAATAACCTTGGTTGCTCGATTAATGAATAATGAAGTAAGAGGCATTTTTTTTTATATCCAAAAAGAATCTAACAATTTATAAACTGAATAATTCTTTCTTTTAATTTTAAAATTGTGCAGCTACTAACTAATTCATAATTCCTTTCATTCTGTAACAATCTGATGGTATTGTAATTGTAGCAATACGGATGTTTTTATATTTCGGATTTCCAATCTACTAAAAAACAAAGGTTTATGTCAAAATATATGAATGTTTTTGTTTATTAATTTTGAATGAATATGAATACCATCTAAAATTTTGTTTTAATGATTTGCTTGTTATTTTATTTCTTATTTTTTTTATTGTTCAATAGAAATATTTCATTTTTAATTCCATAATTATTTCCATTGTATGAAAAAATGAGAATGTATTTTAAAACGTCTTTCTTTACTCTTTGTCTTTAGTCTTTATCAAATTTTTACTCTTAAAAAAAAAAAAAAATTAAAGTTCTTATTTGATTCGAACTCGGGATATTTAATAATTGAATTTTTATTATTACCAAATTTATTGATCGTTGGCGGATGAAATAATTACCCTTTCTTGATTAATAATACAAATACTCATTATGATACCTATCCTAAAAAAAATCAATGATTAGTGAGTAGAAGGAAACATTTTTTTTCTTTGTAAATGTCTTTTGTTTGCCCTTTCTTTTGACTTTGTTGTCTTCTGTAAGTAAAATCAGAAATCTGATATTATTCTACAAAAAAAATAAAAAAATAAATAAATAAAAATGTTCAAAATAAGTCATTATTAATGTACAATAATTTATAATTATTTTTAAATTAATTTTATGGTGTAATTCAAGAAATATTTTGAAATTTTCTTGGATTTTTTAGCTTTTAATTTTAAAATCAAAACTTTTAAACACGCTTTCTTTCATTTGATTTTTATTTTATTTTTTTTATGTCATTTATTCATTTTTAAAGTTTTGAATCCTTTTTAGAACATTCGAAATTTTGGTTAATTTTTTTTTTTTTTTAACGTCAGTCAGGAGTGTGTGGCAAAGACAACTATTGGACTTTTTACTAATGTCTTTTTTTTGTAATGAAACACATTGATTTGGAAATTTTTGCAAAAATCAGATAATTATTGGATTTTAATGAAACTTTCAGGACTGATTCACAATTGAATAAAATTATTTTTTAAATGTGTTTATAGAAAATCTTTTTTGAAATTTTGACAAATTCTTTTTTGATTAATGTTTTTATATTAGTTATAAGGGCAAGTCCTCAGAAAATAAATCAACAAATTATTTAACAGAAAATCTACCATGACTCATTAAATAAGAAATACAATAAAATTTAAAACTAAGAAGACATTATTTAATTAGAGAATGTCTTAATTACTTTTATGAATAAAATATATTATGGATACTAGGGTCTTAAGAAAAAAAAATTTCAATAATATCACGTGTATTTCTTCTCAAAATTTACAAGACTTGTTAAAAAAAAAATTAATTATAATTCTATACTTTTAAAACTTTTAAAATTCTGTATTGATTTGTAGTGGTCAAGTCATGAAATAATAGCTGTATTTACTAATCATAAATGGAAAAGCTCACTACAATTCAACAACCCCTAGTATACGCTATTGCCAGATGCAACAGATACCTGATGAAGGACAGGATAAAGTAGTCATTAAAATTGAATTTAAGGGGTCCTCATTTTAGTGGAGATGACCTCACTGGAAATAGAAGCTTCAAAAAAAAACACAAAATTTAAAAATTGTGCAGCATCAATTCCTTTTGCTGCAAGGAAATTATCTTCTGAGGTGTTCTTTAGATGGCAGAGCCCTACAGCCGATAGACCACCTTTCAGTCACCAAGGATAGCTATTCAATTGTTGAAGAAGCAATACCTGAACGAGTAAGAAATAAGAGGAGAATTAATTCAGAATATCCTAAACTTTCAACTTGAAGATCCAAAGGATTTAGGTGGCTTAAGAGATTTTTTGATAAGAACCCAAGCAGATGTGTGGGTTCTCATATAATTGTAACTTATATGATAATACATTATTAGCAGGTAATTTTGAGAATAATACCTGTGATATGATGATATCACGAGTATTTCAAAATTACCTGCAGAGGTAAAAAGTGAGCTGATGAGGATCACTGGCAAGACTTACTTGGCCTTGTTAGCCATTTTGAAATGCATAACAGAGATTATAAAACGGTTCCTGATTGTGTAAAAGCTGGATAAACACCCTGCAACAAAACCTCAACTCACTCCCAGAGTTAGAGTAGAAAATGAGGATGGACCTCATTCTTCCCTAAAGAAATACTGAGTTGAGAGGAGGAATGAAAATGTGTAAATTCTGTGGTAGTGATAGATATGAATCTCTACCGTGTTCTCATTACACCTCTCATGAAGTTTGAATAACTAGATGCGGAGAGTTGTGATTATGCTTCAATTGTTTAAAGAAGTCATACATAGGAAATATGTGTCCATTAAGGATAATGAGAAATGGAAGCTGCAGTAACTGCAAGAGTAGGGACCATATAACAGCCATGTGCCCAGCCTTTCAAAGTGGAGTGTAAATACAAAGATGTTTGTATACTAATGACTACACTTTTATGTTCCCAGTAATTAGTATTGTAGTGAGAAGGAAGGACAAATTTATAGAGATAAATTGTCTACTGGACACTGAAAGTCAAAGGACTTAACCTTGACACAACAGTATTGGAGAGATTAAATTGTCTACACTCAACAAAGAGTAAAGTCTTAGAAGTGAAAACATTCTTAGGCTTAGAGAAAAAATCCTTGACAGAAATATCATTGGAACTGGGGCTCATTCCAGAAGTTCATAACCTTCCAATCCTCTCCAGCAAAATTGACCTTTGCTACGAACTGAAAGTACTTCTTCAGATCTTCAAAAATTTGAGGAGGCACAAATTTGTTGCTAATTATAACCATTGAAGCAAGGTTATTCACCACCTTACAGAATTAAGTTCTCGACCCAGAGGAGTGCTGTTCTGATCCCTTTAAGGATTGGTTTGATGAAAGTAATGTTCAGCGAGATTTGGAAAATTTATTCAGCCTTGAATCACTGGGATTACCTACATCAGAGGAATTCTTGACCCTGGATGAAGAAAAAGTTAAGAAGTCCAGGGCTCTATTGTCTTAAGGAAGGATACTATAATGTTTCACTACCATGGTATGGTGAAAAGATAGGGTTTGTATCTTCAAAATCACAATGTAGCTCTAAGAATCCTAGTGAGGGTAGAGAAAGGCCTGGAAAAAAAGAATCTTTATGATCAATATCTAGAGGTCTTCCAGCAACAAGAAGAGTGTATTATTAGTAACTCCTGAACTGTTTGGAGCGTATATTTGGATTCCTCAGAGGACTGTGCTGAAACTGAAAGACAAACCACAATCAAAATTAGACCTGTGTTTACTTTCTTCTTTCTTTTTTTTTCTTTTTTAAACAAAAAAAAATCATCTTTCTGAATGAGGTGGCATGTCCATGAGTTAATCTGATGGGTAACATGTTGGAGCTTCTAATTCATTTTCATACCAACAAATGTGTCTTGTTGGCCGCCATAAGAAAGGCTTTCCTTATGACTTGTCTGTCTTCTGAGGAGGAACAAAACTGGTTTTGCTTTTTCCTAAAAATGGGTGAAAATCTACATTGTTAAAGATTATATTTGGTTTCAATGCAAGCCCTTTTATACTAAATTATGTCCTGAAATTTCATGCTGACAAGTTCCCCTTGGATGAATGCACTCTGGTGTTAAATTCAAATTTTTATGTGGATAATTTGTTAAAAGCTGGTAATGACATCAATACCCTGTCAATGAGGTTAACTTTGAGATATTGTGCTGAGTTAAGAGAAATAATGAAAGCAGAGGGAAACTTGTCTGTATTCAAATCGAGAAAGTATTAGGGTACATATACAACCCTGACAAGGACCCCATAAAAATCTCTCCCCATATACGTAATGTTGAGGCATTAACAAAGAGAAAGATACTTTCCAAAGCTTCCAGAATCTTTGACTCCTTATCCCTTTACCTGCCTATAATGGTGAGAAACTATATAGGAGAACTTTGGAAACAAAAACTAGGACTTGAAGGTTCTGGCAAGAGACCTTTCAGAGTTGCATGCCATCTTATACCCTTTTAGATGAGGGGATG